TCTACCGAATGTAAATTAGCTAATCAAGTAAGATAAAATTGAAGGTAAAGTTCTATATGTTCTATGTACTATTCCAAAGTATTCGATTTTCTTCTTCTGGAGCTTAACTCGGATTACCATGGTCCTTTCTTCACATTAGCCTTGACATAGTAATGCAATATTCTTTTCTTCGGTACTAAGTGAAATTTATTTAACTAAATAACACTAAAATTCAAGAGCTTTAAATGATCAATGTAGATCACAAAATTCAAATTGTATTTATATTTTATTTGAGCATAATATATAAAATATAATATGTTATGTTTCTCTCAAAAGACATCAGATTTTTAATAACAGATAACCAATTTGTAAATAATATTTATGTAAACTTTATTTATTCTCTTGATCTCAAGAAAATTTTCAAATATTACTTTAAGCTTAATTCATATCTTTGAATCTTGAAAATAATCGTTCATAACATTTTATGCATGCTTCTAAATTATATACCAGTTAATCAATTTATTTTGGCAGAAAGAAAGATAAATTAATCTACAACATATGTTATTTACAATCATCACATGCCAGCATATTAATATATTTTAAAATTATTACATATGTCTACCCTAAGATATGTAGAAAATGAATTTCATAAATCACAAAAGGGTAAATATTAATATAGAAATCAATTATAAATTTAGTGAGAAACCTATATTTATTTTCGCCAAACTGCTCCAATCTCTCCGAGCAAGAGCTAGAAAAGAACATTACTTGAGCCCGAAAAACCATGTCATTTGACACGTTTGAAGACAAAAAAGTATTTCATTGTCAATTGTAACGACCCGACCGGTCGTTTTGAGCTCTAACACGTCGTTCGGCGGTTTGAGGCCATGAGCAGCTTCACATCAGGTGTTATGATTGTACGCATGGTCGGAAGGAAGTTCTGAGTTGATTTGGAAAGAGAATTCGCATTTCGGAAGCTTTAAGTTGGAGGAATTGACAAGGATTGGATTTTTTAGTAAACGACCTCAGAATCGGGATTTGAAGGTTCCAACAAGTTTGTATGATGATTTTTGACTTGGGCAAATGTCTGGATCGGGCTTTGGATGACCCGAGAGCGTTTCGGCGCCTATTGTGGAAGTTAGCATTTTTAGAAGAATTTCATAAGTTTGGGTTGAAGCGCATTTCAATGTTATCGATGTTCGTTTGGGATTCCGAGTATAGGAGTAGCTCCGTGTGGTGATTCTGGCATTGGGAGCGCGATCGGAAGTGGATTTGAAGGTCCGTAGGTCATTTTGGAGTCATTTGGCGAAAGTTAGAAATTTGAAGGTTTTTGAGAAGTTTGACCGGAAGTGGACTTTTTGATATCGGGGTCGGATTCCGATTCCGGAAGTTGGAATAGGTCCGTAATGTCGAATATGACATGTGTGCAAAATTTGAGGTCAATCGGGCGTAATTTGTCAGATTTCGGCATCGAATGAAGAAGTTCAAAGTTCTAAAGTTCATCAAGTTTGAAATGGAGTGTGATTCGTGATTTCAACGTTGTTTGATGTGATTTGAGGCCTCGATTAGGTCCGCATTATATTTTAGGACTGGTTGGTATAATTGGTCGGGGTCCCTGGGGCCTCGGGTGGATTCCGGATGGCTAACGGATCAAATTTGGAATTTGAAGAAGGAATGAAGCAGCTGCCTTTTGGTTTAACTGCACCTGCGAGGCTTGGGCCGCAGGTGCGGAGCCTTGACCGCATCTGCGTGAGCGCAAAAGCAAAAAGGAAGGCTGTAGAAGCGTCAAAGGGGCAGGTGCAAAGGAACTTCCGCAGAAGCGGAGCCGCAGAAGCGGCAGGTGGACCACAGGTGCGGAAGTCGCTGGGCAGAACACATTAAATAGCGGGGTTTGGCCATTTTTGCTCATTTTCTCCATTCTTGGGCGGTTATTGGAGCTTCTTGAGAGGGCTTCCACCTAGCAACTTGGAGGTAAGTTAATCCCACCTATTATGAGTTAAATACATTGATTTTGTATATATTTTTAAATGGAAATTAATAGAAAATTGGGATTTTGAGGAAAACCTAAAATTTGGTATTCTTGGATTTTGACCACGATTTTAGGCATGAAATTGAGAGTAAATTATATATTTGAGTTCGTGAGGTTGTGGGCAAACTTTATCTTCGAAAAATTTCGGAATCCGGGCGCGTAGGCCCGAGGGAGATTTTGTCAACTTTTCGATTGGGGTTAAGAATTGTTATAAATTGGATTATTATGAGTAATTGAGCACATATTAATGGGTTTGCATAATTGTTGGCTAGTTTTGGAGCGTTATGCATCGATTTGAGTCTTCGGGGGGGCGTGGAATGTCGGTTATGGAACTTCGAAGCGAGGTGAGTCTCCTTTCTAACCTTGTAAGAGGGAATTGTCCCATAGGTGAATTAATTGGATATGTGCTCCTATTTGTGGGGGCTACGTGAGCACGAGGTGACGAGAGTCCGTGCGTAGCTACTATTATGCTTATGTCCGGGTGGTCTAGGGCCCAAAAGCAAGCTTTACTTGTAATATTTGCAACCTTGTTGTCAACTTAAAAATGCTTAAAACATATAGAACGTATAAATAAATTTCTAAAAGGGCTAGACATCATTTCTTGACTTTTGAAAGAGAAGCTTGCCTTTTCCTGAATAATTGCTCCTTGATGAATTCTTGATTTGACTGTTTGAATGTGTTTATCTATTGTGGGACGGGCCGAATGCCTCGGTAGATTAAATAGATGCATTTATGGTTCGCGCCATTCGACCCTCTGGCAGTGCTAAGTTTAAATATTGTTGGATCGGGCCATTCGACCTCGACATGATTTGCGCATGCTTGCATTGCTTGCCTTGAAATTCATAAACGTTGATATTTGTTCTACCTGGCCTGAGATAAATGTATAAATGATGAAAATGAATTTGGAAATTTCCTATAAAAGAAAGAATTGTTTACTTGCCTCATGCTATTGAGTTACAACCATTTTTATGAAAATCCTCGATTTACTACATTTTTGGTATATCATTATTGGACCACTAGTAAGTGACAAAGTCGACCTCTCGTCTCTACTTCTTCGAGATTAGACGGGATACTTATTGAGTACACGTTGTTTTTTTTGTACTAATGCTACACTTGCTGTGTATTTTTGTTGCACAGGCACATGTACCTCTAGCGACCTAATTGGCGTAGCAGCATGGATGATACGGAGACTTAGGTGAGCTGCATCTCTCGAGGCGACCCGCAGCCGGCATAGTCTCTTTCAGTGTATAGTATTTACCTTCTGTCCAATTTGTAATCCGGACAGTTAATGTACTTCATTTGATTTCCTAGAATTAGCTCATGCACTTATGACTCCGGGTTCTGGGATGATTATGGGGTTATTCAATATTAAGTTTGTAAAAGACATCATTTTATTTCAGTGAATTTCATTATTTATTGTTTAATGCATAAAAGAAGTGATTTCAATAAATACTAAAAATGAGAATTTAATTAACTTCTTGGTGTTGGCTTGCCTGACAGTGGTGTCCGGCACCGTCACGATCTTAGTGGATTTTGGGTTGTGATAACATGGTATCAGAGCACTAGGTTCCCTTAGGTCTCACGAGTCATGAGCAAGTCTAGTAGAGTCTCACGGATCGGTACGGAGACGTCTGTACTTATCTTCGAGAGGCTACAAGGCTGTCAGGAGCACTTCCCTTCTTGATTCCTCATCGTGCGATTTGATTTCCTTTGAGGCTTATGCCCTATTCTCCTTCCTACTCAATCTTATGCGTCGGGAAGCGCTTATTTTAAATCGGGAATTGAGGAATTGTAATGGTACTACAGGCGTGGTACGGGATATTTCTCCCTGCGTGGTTGGTTGGACTATTGTCTTGGCCTTGCGGACGGATATTCTGTCATTTCAGCTCAGTAGCTGTACTTCTGGGAGCTTCGAGGTTATGCACATGTTGCCAAGATGCTTATGAACGGTTATCACGTAGTATTGATAAGAGGCTGGAATGCTTGCCTATGTGTCGGGGCAGTGAATGACTTGAGAGGAGGTTTACTAAGTGTATGATTTAGAGATCCAGTATCTGATTTTCGGCGGAGGAAAGACAATCGAGCTATGAATGATCAGGCTTGGGTTGATAGAGTAACGAGACTTGGTGTTTTCATGTATGGTGGAATTTCTATCTGCGACGTAGTATCGTCATCAAATTGACATTTCCGAAAATGATTGCAAGTTTTTAGCGACGACGTTGATGTGTTAAATTGAAATCTTCTACAGGCTGCTCGTTTTAGAGTAGTATAGTTATTGGGCTTAACTGTTGTTGGAGCCCAGTGTAACTACAGTTGGAGCCCTACGTCTTCTGAGAGGGAACTTTGATCAGAAACCTCCTACGAGCTACAAACTCCAACAAATATTCATTGGATAAATTTCACAAATAGTCATATAATTATAATGAAGAAGTCATACTTATACTGATTAATTGTGAAATTTACCCCTATTCATTCCTCTTAATTAATTGTCTTTCATTAGCTTAATCTTGTTGGGATTATAATGCGAAGAACGTTATGAAGCGAATACTAATATAAAGATTGCTATATATGGGGAATAGTAATTAACATAAGGATTGGTATATAAAAAATAATAATGCATGGATTGTTATACATGAATTTGTGTTTAAATATTGTTAAGCAGGTATTGTTGATCGATAAGTACATATTTATTTCACATTTTATCCCGCATAAAATAAATATATAGATTTTTGCATAGTTATGTGGATATTTAGCATTATAGAGCTTAGCAAAAAATGGCGCATTGGTTACGTAGAAACCAAATATTGCAGGAGTACTAGTTATGCATAGACTAATATAGTGACGCGCAGAGATTTGCGTTGCAACCAAATATTGCACTCTTGAGTTATGCAGAAGTTTAAACAAATAAATTTACTTCATACACATTATATATAGTATCGTTCGGTATCACTCAGCAGTCAGCTCTCGTTAAATCTATATATTATGATCCATATGAACAAAGTTTGATATATATATTTTATGCTTCTTTCGTTTCATGCCGATCGAAGACGGATCGGAATAAATGCAAACGGGGGCACAACCAAGATAGCTACTACTACTATACTAGTAAGTGTTAATAGACCCAAAAAAAGGGGAGGAGATTATCGTATCATGCACTCTGCGCTTCTAGGAAGGTACTGAAATCATCTCTAGCCTTGAGAATTCGTGGTGTTATGCAGGATGATGTGGGCGAGGGCGGGTATGATGTTGGAGACGACGTCGAAAACCGAACATGACGCGCTGATTCATGCGATTTTCTGTGCGTTGTTGTTGTGTTTTTTAGGACGCCTTTCACTTCCTTATCGAAAACAAATGCTGTCGTTACAGGGGAAAGAGTGTCGTCGTTCACAGTACTGCAACGGATGAGCTCCATTGGCAGATCAAAAAACATGTTATTTGAAGCATCTCCTACGTCGTTCATTATAGCCGCCGATGATGTCCACGATCCGCATTCGAATTTCTCCAACGACACTGTCCTTGAAACTACATGATGTCCCATTTCTGACGATACTGTTATTCCACTTTCTTGCCTTCTCCCAGATCTTATATGTTTGATTCCCTTTCCTAAACCTGGAATGAACAAACACAGGGCTCCACATTTGAACTTCTCCTCCTGATTTCGACCCTCCAACATTTTTCCTTTTTTATACGTTCCATCCGTTCTGACGCCTTCTGATGATTCTTGGAATGAGTTATTATTGTTTAACTTGTTGCTGTCCTCAGCAGCAGCTACATGATTATTCGGGGCGAACCAAATATCAAATTCTTCAGGTGGGGCGCTGGCTCTGCCTTCGCCACACGACTTACTCCTCTGTAAATGGATTTCTCTTAACAGATGAAGGTTTGTGAGCGCCACAGAGTGAGAGTGCTGCCGAGCCAAATGATTGGTTGATGACAGAGGGGATGGTAGTTGACTAAGTTGGTTTTTCTTCTTCTTTGATAAAAATTCTGGAGATAAAGCTGTTGAGTTGGGTAGGCTGGAGCTCAAGAACTTGTTATTGGGTGTCAAAGGGATATCAGGAATGGTCAGAGGTTGGGATTTCGGGTGGGGGATCGCCATTTCATTTGATTCTTTCAGGGAGATTGGATCAACTGAAATCTGCTTCGCACTACCCAGGCTCTCCTTCTTAAGTAGCAACTTGGGTTTGCTCATAGACGGATCCTGGATATAGATAATCGGGCGATCACTGAGGTTAGTTACTTCAATGAAAGTTTCATTATCTGATTCTTGAGGATCCATAAAGGGAGGCATATTTCAGCTCTGAAGCTAAGAGTTAATTAAGACTGAAGGGAGGTGCACATATTTAAAGGAGAAATGTGGTAGAATTAGATTGTGGACACCATGTCTTCCAAAACCTTAGTTATGATTCCCACGTTCTCTCTCTGACTCTTATCTTTCTCAGAGTATGTAAAATAATTTTAAGACATGGGAAGCACTGCCTGATTTAGTTTTAGCAATTCTCTCGGAGACTACTAGTTCAATGTAACGCACCCCCACGTCTACCACTTCAACAAAACAAAATTTCTCGAATTTTCTTTTAATAATAATTAACCAGTCGTGTGAAGGGAAGCCTTGGCATAACTGGTAAATTTGCTACCATGTGATCAGGAGGTCACGGGTTCAAGCCGCGAAAACAGCCTCTTGCAGAAATGCAGGGTAAAGCTACGTATAATAAACCCTTGTGGTCCGGCGCATAGCGAGTACTTAGTGCACCGGGCTGCCCTTTCTTTTAATAATTCACAAGTCTTCTGATGGGTGTGACACATAAAAAGAGTTTACCTATCTGGTGAGCAGGGAAATTGATAATTTTATAATTTTTTAAAACAATCAACGGTTTAAATCAAGCCACAATAGTCTCACTTGACAAACAATTCAAAAAGAAATTCACTCCAGAAAAGAAAGGGTCCAAGGGGAAAGACAAACAAATGAGGAAAGAGGGAGGGGGGACTTGATTCAAGTGAGCTAACGTTTTGACAACATGATTTTAGGTCAACTTCACTCGTGCGGTTGGAAGTTGGAACTCAAACAAGTAAAATAATGTAGTGAACGTGCAGCCACACGGTTGCTTAGAAGTATATAACCAACCAAAGCATGGAGAATGGCAGAATGTAGGCAAGCATATAAAACACAACCAAGAGACAACAATGCTCCAACACTGCACATGAAAGAAATTTAGCCCATTCCCAGAGAACATGCAAAAACGCAAACAGTTGTTTCGTTCCATGAGCATTAGAAAATTCATAGTAATCAATTTCTTGGTATATATCCAAACTTCCCTATATTCAAGAAAGTAGGTTTTATTGGATAAAATCAATTTTTTATAATAATAATAATAATATAATGGATAAAATCACGTATGCCAACTACTTACAATGCAAAAATGGTAAAACTTTCACTGTAGGGAATTATAAAACAGAATCAGCCGATGATGATGGGGAATGCAGAGACCAAGTGTACAGAGCTCCATATCCCTGCGTGAAAATGTCCCTTGCCAGAAGTAGCTCCAGAAGAAGTTAACTCATCTCAAGATTTCACTAGTAAAATTCGAGTTAAGGCTTTCTCTACTAGCTTAATGTGGATTTAATCATGACCTGATCGACTAAACTTTACTAGAGGAAAAATTATTTATTATCCTCCATAGGTGTCCAAAAAATGAAGTTAAAATTGGTGCACTCAAATCTTAGGACAAATTTGAGATTTTCCTATAGCTCGGTCTAAAAAGAATACAAAAATAAAGAACTCTTGACCTTCTTAACCCGTGTCATCTCATTTTATTTTGACTGAATCATATGAAAAGAAACTTTATAACAACCTACAAACAGCATTACATTCAAAATTACGAAAATAAAATGCTAACCAATGCAAAAACTGGAACTAAACAATTTGAACATCCATATTCTTGCAGTCATATTTGAAATAAATCTGTGGCTGTGGCCATTATACAGTCACTTTATGTTTTGCTGATTAATAGCTGCAACGTATGTTGCTCAACAGAAAAAGAGATAGAAACTGAAAGTCGCATAACATGTCTCATGAGGCAGTGGTTGTAAACCCTGCTTTTGTCTGATTTCCTTCTATGTTCCTTTTCCTTATCTGCGTAGACCAGGCATATATCCAGTCTAACGAAATGATCGTTTGAGTCTTAACAAAATATAGTCTTGTCTTTGTTGGTCTACTCAAGCTATGAATGAAAGTCTGACAAGAGAAAATCATGAAGTGTTTCAATGTCTGATTTGAAATATAGGTTGAGCAAAACGGCAAAAGGAAAAGAAAAAAAATTGATGTTTGCTTTAAGCCAACTAGTCTTAGCATTATCATAGTAGAATGGAAGTGGAAATTTGAACATAAACATCAAAGATTAATTGTAAAACGTTGTTTACAGTGCATAAAGCTATGGTAGTACCTCCAAATTAGGGCTTGAAGTCATCGCTTCTGCCAGCATCCACAGAGCACTACAATCTTCAGGTACTTTTTCTTCATTAATCTTCAACAAAGAGAATAAAAGGAGTTAGCTAGGCGTTGGCAAATACTATTCAGACGTGTTAAGGACCTTTTAGAATTTATAACAGATTGTAATATTTAAGAACTAGGGAATCTACACCAAATAGAAACAACTAACCAAGTTTACTCTATCAAGGCAAACCGACTATCATATATTGCCAAGCATATAACAATCATTCAGAACTATGGCGCCACCAAGATAAAGCAAAGGAAAACAAAAAACATTGCTGCTCCTTCCATCACTTTTTTATATGAGATATAGTTTATTTTAAAGATGTCCCAATATAACAGAGAAGTTGTATCATGCATTTCAGAATTCAAATTCAGCTGACATCTTTAGAAGGTTCTTCTTTTTCTTTTTATCAGTACACTTCTAGCAGGCCCATTATGTGCAACTTGAAAATGCACTATGAGTGAGATTCACTGCAACTAGTTTTATCCAATCAACACGTCTGAGAGGAAGTATCTTGCATTCCTACAAACTGTTTTCTCCGGAGGTTGTTAATTTGTCATGTATTTTCAGGCAATAAGTATTTAACCACTACAGTTTTCTAATATAATCTTCTGTTTTGCCAATTACCATACAATCCCATAAAATGTCAGTGTTTCATTAAACAATCTTTGAACAAATTCATGCAATCAGGTGTGACGAGGGTCATCACCTGTATTCCTACTCGCTCTGTATTTCTGAGGCCGTGAAAACCTCACTTGGGGGTTGCCTCGAATTTGTGTGCGCAGTCCGGGCGCGTAGCTGGAACGTTTATATATGAATTTGTGAGAAAGATAATAAAATTTTGATGTTTTAATTGATTAAGTTTGACTTCGGTCAACGTTTTGGGCAAACGGACCCGGACTCGTGATTCGACAGTCCCGGAGGGTCCGTAGGAAAATATGAGACTTGGGGGTGTGCCCGGAATCAAATTCCGAGGTTCCGAGTCCGAGGAATGAATTTTTACGTGAAATTATTTTTTGAAAGTAATTAAAGAATTGGGAAGTGTTATTTGTTTAGAAGACTGTGCTGTTGGGCTCGCATTTTGGTTCCGACGCCCGGCACAAGTCTTAAATATGAGTTAAGCAATTGCTGTGAAGTTTGGTTAGATTTGGACGTCATTTGACGTGTTTTGAGCTAGAAGCAGTAAAATTTGATATTTCATGGAAATTGGAAGAAAATCATGGGTCTTGAGGCCTAATTCGATGTTGTTTTGGCGATTTGATCGCACGGATCAGTCCGTATGATGTTTTTGGAGTTATGTGCATGTTTGGTTTGGAGCCCCGAGGGCTCGGGTGAGTTTTGAGTGGGTCCCGGGATGGTCTTAGACTTAAAAGTATCAGAAATTTGCAGGTCCAGGTGTTGCAGGCCCCCAGCGCGGCCGCGGTCATTTTCGCGCTCGGTCCGCGCTGGAAGCCGCGCGGCCGTGGTACATTTCTGCGCGGTCCGCGTGGCTAGGTTCAGAGGGCCAGTAGTCCTAGGTCGCCCAGCGCGGCCGCGTGCCATATCAGCGCGGTCCGCGCTGGGAGATTCAGAGAGTGGGAATTTTGGTCCATTCCAACTAGCGCGACCGCGCACCAAATCAGTGCGGTCCGCGCTGGGTAGGTTCAGAGAGTCATTTTCCCTCCCTTCCTCGGCGCGGCAGCGGGGCATTTTTGTGCTGTCCGCGCCGGGTCTCCAGTACAGTATATAAAGTCGGGATTTTCAGTCATTTTTCACTTTTTCAAAACCCAAAACATAAGAGACGATTTTCCAAACGATTCTACTTCTTCAAAACGATTGGTAAGTGATTTCTAACTTATTTTCTTTACTCCTTAACATCTTTAAACATAATTTCAACTTCAAAACAAAGATTTTAATGGGGGAATTTGGGGATTTAGGGTAGAACTAGGGTTCCTAAATTTGGGGGTTTTGGACCTCAATTTGAGGTCCGATTCCAAAATAACTTATATATTTGAGTTCATGGGGGAATGGGTAGTCGGGTTTTGGTTCGAACCTCGGGTTTTGACCACGTGGGCCCGGGGGCATTTTGGGAATTTTTGAACAAACTTTGGGAAATTTCATTTTCATGCATTCAAATTGATTCAAGTAGCATTTGTTAATACATTCAAGTAATTTGTGATTAGATTCGAGCGGTTTGGTGGTGGATTCGAGGGGTAAAGCTATATTAGAGGATTGAGTTGAGTTTGGAGCATTCGAGGTAAGTGTTTGATCTAATTTTGGCTTGAAGGAATAGGATTAGAGTGTCATTATTTGCTAATTGCTAAATGATCGAGTACGGTGTATAGGCGTGGTGACGAGTATCTATACACCGGTGTCTAGCATGACCGTGGGTCCTTGTTTGCACATATTCCTGATATTTTTGAGGCTCTTCTATCCTAATTGATGAATTCTACATAATGTGAAGAGTTTGAGGATTGGTTATGAATGGTAAATTCTTTGGAGCGTTGGTTCGAACAATAAAAATACTATTGAGTAATAAGTAAAAGAAATGGAAAGAGATATGAATAATCCCTTGCCGGGATGGTTTTAGTATATTGATTATCTCCCTTGCCGGGATGTGAAAGTTGTTGTTGTTACTCCCTTGCCGGGATTTAGCCGTTTAATTGTATTATCCTTTGCCGGGACATTTCTTATTATCTGCTTATTCCCTCACCCGTTTGGTTGTGATTGTTGTTTGGGTGAGGAAGAGTGATAATGTACGAAGGGTCATTCCGTGCCATGTTTTGATTATATTTGCACGAAGGGTCATTCCGTGCCATGTTTTGGATTATATTTGCACGAAGGGTCATTCCGTGCCATGTTTTGGATTATATTTGCACGAAGGGTCATTCCGTGCCATGTTTTGATTATTTATGCACGAAGGGACATTCCGTGCTCTAATTTGACTATAATTGCACAAAGGATCATTCCGTGCCATGAAATGAGAGTTATGTGAGGAAAAGCACGAAGGGTGATGCCGTGCATTCTATTTGATTGTTTTTGGTGAGACTGAGAGTAAAAGCACGAAGGTTGATGCCGTGCAACTGTTGATTCTCCTGTTTTTGTAAATTATTGTTATGGCCCTGTTTCTTACTTAAGTTGATGACTTTATATTCAGTTTGTACTCCCCCATAGCATGCTTCCCTCCCTAGTTAACTGTTTAATTTCGGTACTCTTTCCTTTATTGCATATATATATATATATATATATATATATTGAACTGCACAGGTTGACTTGGTAGTCCTATCTAGCCTCGTCACTACTTCGCCGGGGTTAGGCCAGGCACTTACCAGCACATGGGGTCGGTTGTGCTGATGCTACACTTCTGTGCTTTTTGCACAGATTACGGTACCGGAGCAACTCTTGGACCACAGCAGTAGTTGATCGGGAGCCCTCTTCAGTCCAGGGACTTACGAGGTAGCCTAGCTGGCGGCCGCAGGCCAAAGTCCCTTTCCATATTTTCCGTTTGTTTTCATTGTACCGAGACAGACATTATGTATTGTTCTATCCAGACTTGTTTGTAGCACTCTTTAGTGGTTCGTGAGACAGCGATTCCAGTCTTGGGTAGTGAAACATTAGACCTCCGCATTTTGGGTTTTCAGTTATTTATGTTTTAAAAGACTTCCGCATTTATTTAAAGGCTCAGTATTTTATTATTGTTATGTTGTTATCCGAAAATGTTTAAATGTTTGGCTTGCCTAGCTCCAACAGTAGGCGCCATCACGACTCCCGATGGCGGGAAATCCGGGTCGTGACATCAGGAAATTATTAACTTTCATACAATGTCAATTTAGGGCTTATCTTTTCATCCAACTTTCGTAACGAAAACATTACCTCTGAAAGTCATTGATTGCTCCACAACACAAGCACATAATATCACCAAAAACTATTTTCCCTCCGATATCTAGTTTCTAAAACATTTAACCTTCTAATTCTATCAGTAAGAGAAGTCAATAAGAACTCCCATGCATTTAAACATCTTTGAGCATCATCTCTCCTCCTTGAGGAATTGATTAGTATTCTATTGTCCCATTAAATTATAGGTTGCTTAATTCCAAGTTTTAGGCATGCTAGGTTTTCACCATGTTACTACCATAATAAGTAAGAGCAATGAAATGAATTGTCCATTTCTAAGTTTTACCTGCTATAGGCAGCAGCACAATATAAAAGGATGCCCTTAGGGTGTATTAAAAAGGTGCACACACAACCTTCTGAGTCACATTCCCGATTAGTACATTGTATGCGTCTACATATATACATAATGGAAGCACTTTGCTGTCTTTCTCATGTGGTCTATTATACTTTTCCTATCCTTTCCAACATAAACGACATTCGTTTTATCTTGGAAAGTCCCAAAATGTTTGACACCATTCCACTAGTAATATAATTTTATACAACTTTCGTAAGTTCAATTTCATTTGGTTTTATTTTTAAGGGACGGGCCATTCATATACCTACTAGTCAAATACCACACCTTCCTCAAATCAAACGGATCTCTCTAAAGACAAAGTATTTAATCCAAAAGTAAGGGGAAAAGCCCTTCTGAATAGCTTTTTGAAAAGAAAGATTAAAATATATAACTGAAAAGTAAAAATTTGGTACTCAATGGCAGGAGAACAATGCATTGCATATTCATACAATGTAACACTTCATGCAACTCTAGGACTGCCTGTTCCTCTTCTTGACACCAGACTTGGCGACCTTGGGACTCCTGTTTCACAGCACTCAACATTGCAAGGGCTATCTTTTTCCGATCTAGCCAGTAATAGCTGTCCGCAACCTGGTTCAATACGGCCTTGGCCATAACAAAGTAACTATATTTTAATATAATGTGACAGTCATTTCATAAAAAATTTCCACTATTATTTGATATCTTCTTCGAGTCTTCCACTAAAATTCATATAAAACACAAGTCAAACTAACTTCTTAAATTCTGTAACCAATCAAATGGTGTCACATAACAGGAGATAGATATCTCATTTGCTTATTGTTAAAATTATAATAAACTTGTTTCCATTAGTTCACATTTATATTAAATATGTTTAGATTAGTTCATATTAGTATGAGATGTATGAACAAGTGTAGACTAATGTGAACTTCATTATATGTATGAACTAGCGTAGACTAATGTGAACTTCATTATGAGATGTATGAACTAGTGTAGACTAATGTGAATTTAGTTAGTGTGTTTACATGAAGTTTAGGCTAGATACATGTAGGAGTTCTACTATAAATACCCATGTATGCTAGCCATTTGGAACAAGTCAAGTTGAATGAAAAATATCATTTCTTCTCCATTCTTAAAGTGAGTTGTGAGTGTTTGAGTGTTGTGTTGTCTTGCTCTCCCAAATTATTTTTTTTTCCAACATTTGGTATCAGAGCCGGTGTGGTTGAAGACAACAAACTTGGAGAAAAGATGACGAATTCTAACGGAACACCATTCCAAGTTCCTATGCTTACAAAAGAGAACTATGGAAATTGGTGTATTCGAATGAAGGCCTTGCTTGGTGCCTATGATGTTTGGGAACCAGTAGAGTCCGGTGTTGATGAAGCAGAAGATGTCGTTGCCTCAAAGAAGAAGGATCAAAAGGCACTCACTCTCATCCATCAAGGTTTGGATGACAAGATGTTCGAGAAGGTTGCAAATGCAACAACCTCCAAGGAAGCATGGGATATTCTTCAAACTTCTTTTAAAGGTTTGGACAAAGTGAAAAAAGTTCGCCTCCAAACCTTAAGAGGAGAGTTTGAATCATTGCATATGAAGGAAAATGAAATATGTTGTGGATTATATTTTCGAGAGTTTTTTGGCTATTGTCAATCAAATGAAAAGATATGGTGAAGAGTTGAAAGACGATAGGGTCGTGGCAAAAATACTACGATCCTTAATTTCAAAATTTGATTTTATTGTTGTTGCCATTGAAGAGTCCAAAGACTTGGACACCATGACCATAGACGAGCTTTCGAGTTCCTTGCAAGCACATGAAGAGAAGTTGAAGAAACCGAAAGAAGAATCGGTTGAACAAGCGTTGCAAGCAAAATTTTCTTTCAAAGAGAAAGATGAAAGGCGTGGCTCGCAACAAAGAGGCCGTGGAAATGGAAGAGGTCGTGGTAGAGGCGGAAGAGGAGGTAGTCAACCACCTTCAAGTAGAGAAAATAAAGGCCAAGAATTTAATTCAAGAAGAGGTCGTGGAAGAGGGAAAGAACGGAGGCAAAATCAAGGAAGGTATGACAAATCAAATATCCCTCACAATTGCTCCATAAAAAATAGCTTCACACCCAAATGCAAATTTTAATTTTACAATTCTGGAACATGCAACACTAATAATACCTCCAGAACCCAAATAAATGATTCCACAAGCAGCAATCAGGAATACAGTTCAAAAGCAGCTATAGGGTGTACAACTGATGTGAGGCACGTATAAAGCAGTGACTTACTTCTTCCGGTGCATCAGCTTAGTCGTCCCTTTTGGAGCCTTTTCATCATCAATTCAAAGCAGCCTCCTACGCTCAACATCTCTTGGGTCTTCAATCATTATTACCTGCAATAATACCAAAATAACATGGGCATGTCAATGTTAACATAAATCAATTGAGAAACAAATTGATTTTTGCATTACCTGTTTTAGCAAAACAACCAAGACACTCCATAAGGTTCTAAACTAGCAGAGTCACATTATAATAGCAACTCAAGAGAAAGAAATTGCAGTTGAAGGTAATGCACCAATTTAAATGACACTATTGATATCTTGGGAAGTCTCAAAATGTTTGATCCGGCCCATTCCACTAATAATATAGTAATACAAGAAATCAAGCTCCAAGATCCCCGACCATTTCACCCTTTTTGCTTAGAGGAGATGAAGTGGGTGAAAATGACCTAAGGTCGACTGATTTGGGGGGTAAAACACGGTTATCTGGATCGGGTCGGTACATTTGGGTTATGGGTGGGGTAAAATCAGGTTTGGGGCATGGATTAATGAATAACCAATCAGATACGGCCACGTGTAATTATTAATATGTTTAAATATATTACAACTCATCCGTTAGAAATAAGGGCACAAGTATGCCAGATTTTTAACAGTAGGGTCATTATTTGCAAAATAGGTTAACGAAGGGCAATTTTAGACTGGAGTTGATACGTTAGGGGCAGGTCTGACCCTGTAAAACTTATATATAATATGTCTTCTTTTTCGAGTTTCAATATGAAATTCTAACTAAAAGTACCTTGAATCTTCATCAAATTCTCTCAAAAGTGAAATATAAACCGTAAAAGACATTCACAATCATTTGCAAAAACACCCAGTCCACATAAATAATAATTTTGCAAAATTTAATTTTTGAATTCAAAGCTTTAACTCTCGGCCTCTCGCCTTCAACAGTGTTCTTTTCTTTTTAAACAAATAAATAAAGTGACTATTTAAAGAAAATCAGAAAATCTTAATTTGCAAAATACTAAAATGGACTTGGTTAGTCAGTGAAAATCGTGTGTGGATTTATGGTTTCTATTTTCGCACATTAATGGACTTGTAGTTCTGTGCACTACAGCGTAACGTTATTTTTTCAAGTGACTCTTTTTCTTTTCAATAGTGTTTTTCACTCTCGCCTATCTCTACTCATGGGTGTGGGGGGAGGGGGATGAGGGAGAACAAGAAAAGGAAAGATTAGATTCTAATTTTTATTTTATATATAATTTGATTATTGTATATCAACTTGTAATTAAATTAAAATTTTAGTATCGAAAGTAAATAAGTTTCGAAAGTAGTATGCCTCGTAATTTGTGGTACTATTTAATAAATAGACTCCTCCTCTTTACTTTGTGTGCAAATGACATATTCGCTCCTTCAATTTCTTCTTCTCCATCTCTTCTTTTTCACCAAGAACATCATAATACTTCAATTTTGGAAGCTTAAATTCTTGTTTGGGGTTTAAAATTCGAATTTAATAGTTATTTGTTATTAAAATCGTTGGAGATTCAATAATAGACAATAAATTTCCGTCGAGAAAATAAAATCAAGACCGAAAGATATTGCAACAATCGTGGTATTTGATTTTAAATAATTTGAGTGTACAATCTCTATGAATCCTCTGATTCTTCTTTCCAATAGTAAATAAATTCAAGGGCCCTCGAGCTTGATCTTCAATCTATAGTTATTGCCACGAACAATGATCCTGAATTCAACTAGCACGAACTTTGATTTGAACTCGTATTTCTTGAACCTTGATTTGTTCTTCGTTCTTGAGCTTGAACCTGACTACCTGAACTTGAACTTGAACTTGATTTATTCTTCGTTCTTGAGCTTGAACTTGATTGCTTGAAGCTTGAAACTTGTGGAGGAATTTGCAACGTTTGACCCACGAGCCCTTTCTTGCTTCTTTTTATAACTTCTGGTGTCCTTTTTGGGTTATGAAGACCACTATTTATAGTTGTGGAAGGGAAGAGTTATGATAAGAACAAACTCTTTCCGACCAATCAAATTGAACTGTGACAAGGCCACATTTGATTGGCCAGAACATATCACTTGCACACGTGGCGCAGTTTCATTGGCCATTTAATTTGACTTGGCATGTCTTGTTATTTTGACATGTTGGCACGATCCTATTGGCCCTTCCGTATGACTTGGTATGCCACGCCATTTCACGCGTGGCATTAAACTGAGCCTCTAGGAAGATGATATATTGGGCTTAATGAAGTGTGTTCATCTCTTTAGCCTAATTAAATGGGATAGTTCAATGGATTAAGACTTATTTAATCTGTATATATTAGACTTATATAATACATTTAATTATACTAGCCTATAATATTTATTTGGACTAATATAACTTGAACTTAAAATATAGTCCAACTTATTTTACGGATTTAAATCGAACAAATTTAATTATCTACAAATGCCCTCTACTTCAAGGCCTGTCGAAAAGTATAATTAAGGACTAGACTTGAAGTATTTGTTGAAGACAATTCGTATTTTCCTTGGAATGGCTTCGTCGGTGCCTCTTCTTATAATTAGAACACTTCAGATGTATTCTATCTGGACTACAATAGTGACAGATGCCATTTGCCATAATTAATCTTTTAACTAACTTTCTCTTTTACTTAAGCACCAACAGCAACAACATAAAAGAATTTTAAATGCCAAGCAATCTTAGTTGAAGTGACGCTGCAAGACTTCAAAATTGATCTCTTAATGGAGCACATAGTTGATCTACTACACGTGGCAGTTGCTAGAACATATGAATTCATCACAATTGATTATTGTGTAGATTCGTATCACCATAACTTTTAATTCAAGTAGTACTCTGAAACACGTCTTTCCTTCTCCGGATACCATTGTTAATTTGAGTAGGAGTCAAATTGTAGTAGCCCAGTTCATGTTGGAAACTAACTGTGACAGCTGCCTTTAACATTGATCCCACATCGGGAATTAGTTCTTAATAGCCTACTCTAATCATCTATATAAGGTTGCACTTTCTTCAACTCACGATCATCAATGCCTTTGACGCTTGTGAAGTATCACCAAAGGTAATTTCTTCCTCTATTCTTGTATTTTTCTTCTTTTGTTATTTTTTTTAGGTCAAACAAGAAGGATATGTTCTTGTTTAACAAGATGATCCATGCATGAAGAAGACAATCTTAAGGCGTGAGGGGATGAGTACTCAGCCCCGCCCGAATATCGGAGAGATTACGCTCAAGGTGGCCTGAATATCGGAGAGATTACTCTCAAGATGACCCAATTACCGGAGAGATTACTCTCGAGGTGATCGAAGAGATTACTCTCAAGGTGGCCCAACTATCGGATAGATTACTCTCAAGGTGACCCGATTATCGGAGAGATTACTCTCAAGGTGGCCCTACTATTGGAGAGATCACTCTTAAGGTGTCCCGACTATCGGAGAGATTACTCTCAACGTGGCCCGACTACCGGAGAGATTACTCTCAAGGTTGTCCGACTATCGGAGAGATTAGTCTCAGGGTGTGAAAGGATGGATATTCATCCCCCGCCCAAAAACCGGAGGCTATTTTATCCTTTTAGACCTTTGTGCCCATTCTAATATTCTTGATTTGGACTTTGATGACTTATTTTTTGTCCTTTGCAGCCCGAAGAGATGGCAAATTTCAAAGACTATACCTCACCTTCCTCCAAACTTAGATATCTTGTAATCGAGACTGAAGATGGCATAGAACAAACCAAACTTTTGGTTCACACCCCACAAGCTGGCCGATATGCAGCCTCATGGCTTTCTTTGAGGAACTCGCTTTATGTAGAAAACTGGACCTTGGAGCACAAGTCTACTTCTAATCCATTGTCCAAGATGTGGTCTCTCCAAGTGCCAATCTATCGCCACGTAAACATTGCTAGCACTCTTCCAAACTTAGGGCAACGCATAGTTCAAGGAGAAGTACGTTGGGGAAACACATCAAAAATTGAAGGCGAGTATCGTCATATTCCAGGATATTGGGAATGGGTTGAAGATGTACTTGGTGGAAGACAACAAACCCTGAGTACAACAAAGATTTATGATGATGTCTATGCCTCACTTTTCACTTGATTGAAACTCGAACATTTTACAAGCATTTTGTGAGGCTTGGTGCACCAAGACGAACACGCTTCTTACATCAGCTGGGGAACTATCTATCTCTCTTTGGGACTTACATATCCTTGGAGGTCTGCCCATTGTGGGTTTTCCTTACAAAGAAATGGTGCCCGAGACAAGAGAACTCATCGGTTTGGACGAAAAGCAGATGAGATTTATTCCTCGATCTTGCGAGTATTTATTTGCTGCCTTCCACCACCTTAAGGAAGGTACGGGTGTTAACCAAAAGGTCCCCTTGAGAAAGTGGACAAA